CCACACACACACAACACACAGTCCTCCACAGACTGATTGTAGTGTTTGCTGTTGTTTCTCTGTTTGTCATTTGTAGTGTTTTTACAGTCGCCTCTACCACATTTGCTTCATATTTTCATTTACAAGTACTATAGCTTGTTTGTTGTTTATTTATCATCTTGCTTGATGACATGAGGTCTCAAGAGCTTTCTTTTTTCTCTCTCTCTTAAGCAGACACATTGAGCCTTCTTATATTATTGTACCCTGAAAATTCAACACTCCAGAGTGTTCAATATAATTCTAATTTTTGTAGTAGTTTTTGTATGTGTGCATAGATGCAGTATGTGTGTGTGTGTGTGTGTGTGTGTGTGTGTGTGTGTGTGTGTGTGTGTGTGTGTGTGTGGTGTGTGTGAACCTGCCAATCTAAAGGAAATGCTGTGTATGGCGTTTGAGGTCATTTGTGAATTACCATAGACTTATAGTCTAAATAAAACAATTGAGCAACCGACCACGCGGTGACGCGGTTGTCACGGCGACCGTCACAGCCCTAATCTCATTATGAAATAAATGTTTTTCTCTAATACACATTGGTCACAATTAATCATACCCTTTTATCCAATACTTTTTGCAACCTCCTTTTGCCAAGAGAACAGCTCTGAGTCTTCACCTCTAATGCCTGAGTAGTTTAGAGAACATCTGACAGGAGATCAGAGACCATTACTTCATACAGATTCTCTCCATACCCTTCAGATTTCCAGCTGCATGTTGATGATTCTCCTCTTCAGTTCACCACACTCATTTTCTATAGGGTTCAGCTCAGGGAACTGGGTTGGCCAGGGCAGAAGCTTGCTTTTGTTCTCAGTGACCCATTTTTGTTTTGATTTTGATGTTTGTTTGTGGATCATTGTCCTGTTGGAAGATCCAACCATGGCCCATTATAAGATTTCTAGCATGGACAGTCAGTTTTAAATTTTTTATCGGATTTAGTCCTGTTAGAATAGAAAAGGTCCTGTCCAAACTAGTGGTATAAAATTAGAAGCACACAATTCCCTAGAATATCATTATATGATTAAACATTAAGATTTGCACTCTAAATCAGATTTAGATCTGATCTTCAGATTTCCAGCTGCATGTTGATGATTCTCCTCTTCAGTTCACCACACTCATTTTCTATAGGGTTCAGCTCAGGGAACTGGGTTGGCCAGGGCAGAAGCTTGGTTTTGTTCTCAGTGACCCATTTTTGTTTTGATTTTGATGTTTGTTTGTGGATTATTGTCCTGTTGGAAGATCCAACCATGGCCCATTATAAGATTTCTAGCATGGACAGTCAGTTTTTAATTTTTTATCCTTTGGTATTTTATAGAATCCGTTATGCCATCTATCCGAACAAGATATCCAGGATCTCCGGCAGAAAAATAGGCCCACAACATTAAAGATCCAGCAGTATATTTCATTGTACACATGGGGTACTTTTTTATCCCTGTGTGCGCCAAACCCATCTTGAGTGTTTGCTGCTAAAAACCAAATTTTTTTTAGTTTCATCTGAAAAGTTCCAGTCATGTCTAGCAAATAAATATGCTGGAGTTTGTTTTCTTTTCTAGTTTTTTCTTGAAACCCTCCCAAACAACATTGTTTTTTTTTAAGGTTTTCTGACCCCAAGACTCAACTATTTTCTGCAGTTCTCCAGCTGTGATCCTTGGAGTCTTTGGCCACTCAAACGCTCCTCCTCACCGTGCATTAGGATGATGTAGACACACGTCCTCTTACTGTATTTGAGAAAATATTTATTTCATAATGTGAAATTCCCCCACTTTCATTTTTTTACTTTAATTTAAGGTTTGATTTTTATTTTTTATTTTTTTGAATGAAAGATCCAGTGGATAAACAATGCGGATTTATTTTCTCAGCCTTCTTTGATCATATTTACCAAGGGTGTAAATAATTTTGAGCACAACTGTGTGTGTATATATATATATATATATATACATACTCACAGTATATACTGTTCCAAAGTTTGAGGTCAGTAAGATAAAAAAAAATAATAATAATACTTTTATTCAGCAATGACACATTAAATTGAGCAAAATTGACAGTAGAGACTTTTACATTGTTTCAAAAAATGTCTTTTTCAAATGAATACCATTCTTTTAAACTTTTGAATAAATCAGCGTGTTAGAATGATTTCTGAAGGATCATGTGACTTTGAAATATTCACTTGAATAAATTACATTTTAAAACAGTAACATACATTAAACAGAGAACAGTTAACATGCATTTTAAAGGGTTAGTTCACCCAAAAATGAAAATTCTGTCATTAATTACTCATCCTCATGTCGTTTCAAACACGTAAGACCTTCGTTCATCTTCGGAACACAAATTAAGATATTTTTGATGGAATCTGAGAGCTGTCTGTCTAGCTGCATAGACAGCAACGCAACTGAAATGTTCCCAAGTCCAGAAACGTAGCAAGGAGATCTGTAAAATAATCCATGTGACATAAGTGGTTCATCCGCAATTATACAAAGCTAGGAGAATACTCACTAGGAGAATACTACTGAGTAATTAATGACAGAATTTTCATTTTTGGGTGAACTAACCCTTTAACAAAGAAAACAGTTTTGATCAAATAAATGCAGCTTTTGTTAGAGACTTATTTAAAAAATATTGTGTATGTATATATATATATTACATATGTCATGTCATATGTTATCGTATGAGCAACCAATCAGTAATGATACTCATTTAAGTTTCCATACTGTAATTACATAAAACTTTGCTTTTGTTTTGAGATGGACATCACTGAAACGTGTGTCACATTGATTTGATTCAGTGAGTTGATTCAGGAACAGATGTTGCTACTGTCAGACTGGTTCATCATTAACTCCCAAAAATTCACGAGTCTTCTTCGATGATTCATTAAAAAAGACCGCTTCTGACTACATTCACTATACTGAGACAGACAAGTACTTGCATTGAGTGCCTGCTCAAGTCATTCATTTGCTATATGCTTTCTTATGAGTAGAAAGGGTTAGCAAAATTAAAATATTCCCTCATCTATTATCTAATCCCACAGCAGTGACCTCTGACCTTGAACCACCACCCTCTGCTTTGTCCCAAAGGAGCAGAGCCCCAGTAACCAGACATCATTGGCTATGATGCAGGAGCCCCAGGAGGTTATGGAGGAGACTGTAACCATAGAGGAAGACCCCGGCACACCCACCTCTCATGTTTCTGTGGTTACCTCAGAGGATGGGACTACACGCCGTACAGAGACTAAGGTATTGCTGCTTACATCTGCCACATTTTCAAATGTCTTGTTTGTGCATATTATGACATTATTAGATATGTTGTAAATGCACACAAGTGCTCATTCATGCTCACAACATCTTGTGATGTTCTTTGCTGAGGTACTATAAAGAGACTCTTAGGAGATGAGCTGTTTCATATTTAGCTAAAGACTATATTCATTATTATATTAATATATTAATGAATATATTCATGCATTGTGTGAAATGTAGAATTATATCAAGAAGAAATAATAGGTCTTCTTGTTGACATTTTTACATGGGAAAAAAATCTGTATTTGTATCAGTGATTCATATCACTGTTATTTTAGTTTTGTTAATATGCTATTATAGTGTTTATTAATATTTTGAGGTAGCTTATGTTTGTATTTTTTCATTTTACTTTTTAATTTTAAAGTTTTATGCATTGTGTTATGTAATTTTGTCTTTATTTATTTTGCTATTTTGATTTCATTTATTTTTATTTCGGGTTTAGTTTTAGTAATTTTATTTCTATTACTTCAACTTCACACTTATTTTATTTCAGTTAATTGGCAAGGCAACATTTCTAATTTAAGTTTTTGTCAGTTTAAGTTTTCAAAAATTGTATTTTTGTTTCATTTTAGCTTTACTTCAATTAACACAATTTTTAGCTGTTTTATTTAAAAATAACAACACTGGTATAAACCTTTTGTCTAGATTAGTGGGAGGTGTTTTGATGTGGTTTACAGTAGTCAGAAGGTTCTAGAACAAGCTGGTGTTTGATTTCACCCAATCAGCTCTTTAGTGATCAGACAAAGGGATTAACATGACAGACTAGTGCTTCGTTACCAGTAAGAAAGCTCAGCTGTTTTGAACCTGAGAGAATTTACAAAAATACATGATGACAAAATGACTAGGCTAGAAAGTTGAAGGCTTTCAAGATATAAAGATATTCTAAAGAGAAATGTTCTCAGTAATAGTAAATAACTGTTTAGATCTATCCATTTATGTTGTAGTTTTCTAAGCCACACAGTCTTGATTTGCCTTTGCTTTTGTTTTGTTGTTTATAAAAGGACAATGTGACTAATATGAAGGTGAGTTAAAATCTCTCCCTCACATACGCTTTCTCACACACGCCTCTTGTCAGTCACCATTATTTGTGCCCATTGAAGCTCAACAATGCGCAGCATCTCAGCACTGGTGTGAAATCACTGCATAAAGCTTCATTTGGCAGAGCGGTCACCTCTTAACACCCTTTACAGCTACAGTCCTGTTTGTGAGTTTACATACCCCTTGCAGATTCTGCTAAATGTTTATCATTTGTAAAAAATTAAAAATTTGAGGGATTATACAAATTGCATAAAAAAAAAAAATACTGCCCTAATGATGCTATAGTTATGCCAAGCTGAATAAGCAAAGTTAGAAACATGAGCAGATGGCTGTTTTGCCATATTGCTAGGTGAAGTATGTCGAAATGTAAACATGCCAGTTACAGACTGTTGTGGCGTTTTTTTGTTCAGAAAGGAGTGCTGACAGCTTCTCGTTGCTATGGAAACATTGAAACTAAATGTTGCTTTGAGTGAACACAGAACCTTTGTTTGGAATACATGTGGTTCTAAACGGTTATGTTTTTTGATTGCAGAGTTGAAGGCACATATAAACATTGCATTTGGATTGCATTGTTGAATTTGAATTGAGGAAAAACATACAGTATGTAAAAATACTATGGCTAGTGACTCCAGTTTGCCACTAGAAAAAACTGAAGGACTCATACATGATATTAAGAATAGTATGTAAACTCTTTGTGCCATTTTAGTCCTTTTTTTGTCTTTTGTAACATACTTAAAGCTTAAAGCACTTAAAGCTAGCATGAAATTCACAGTTTTCTAAATGCATCTTAATGTGTTGTGAATGATTTATCCATTCATGTATTTTTTTTTTTTGAGCACATAATTCTTAATCAAAATGTCTCAATTTGACCTAAGTTTGCATTTAAATTGACATCCATCTAATCAATAACTGATGGATAAAACCAAGTCCTCACTCAATTTGTTCAGACAATTACGATAATTCATTTCACCGATGTATGTCGCAATATGGAAGAAAAGATCTGTCAATACTTCGATTTCATCACATCTTTAATAGGGCTGCACGATTAATCGCATGCGATATTTAACGCGCATCTTGTCAGAAAGCCGGTTCTGTAATCAGCGGTAAATCTCCATCACCTGCGTGCTTTCACATTGAGCAGCATTAACTACACAGAGCCGTTGTTCACTGATGAGTTGTGCAAAAAATCGCGCGAATATGAACGTGGTTTAGTGCAGCTCGTCAGTGAACAACGGCTCTGTGTAGTTAATGCTGCTCAATGTGAAAGCACGCAGGTGATGGAGATTTACCGCTGATTACAGAACCGGC